ACAAACCCTGATTAAAAGTAAGACATTTTCCCCTTTTCTCTTTGTGGGAATCGCGTGACCTATTTACTAAACCAATTACAATTAAAAATTTCCCTTATCCCCTAAATCGAGTAATTTTTACGGATTCTCTTTGCAAGTTTTTCCTTAACATTTAGGCTGGAGCACGATGAATTTGTGACAGTCTCTCTCATCATTGATCTTATAATGTTTCAATAAAATTAATTTGCTTTTTCTTAAATCCTGTGCCTGTTTGTCCTGCTGCCATGATTGCCATCTTCATATAAATGTATATATAATGTTAACTGTTATAAATATATTTGTGAACAAATATATCTTTATAAGAAAATTCTTTATTTTTAAAAGGTTTTATCCAATGATTTTAAGTAAAAATAGAGACCTCTAAAAAAATTGAAAAATGTAATTGTTTTTTTATTTTTTTTAGTGGTAATTTAATATTATCAATCATAAAATTTTTTAAATTTATATTCATGAGCATTTTAATTTCATTTGCATTTAATAACAAAATTCGTAATGAACTGAATTGAATCAACATCAATTTCTATGTGCACAAACTTCTTGCATTTCTTGTAACTTATAACGAGTCCCCTAAAGAGTTATCCTTTTTTAAGTAAATGCTAGTCTCATACCACCAAGGTGCCCTTGTAATTTAGCTAATTTTTAAATTATTTTTTGTTTCAGATTTTGTCTATAATGATGGCTGATCAGCATAACAAAAATACATATGTGTCTTGTGCCATTAAACTATATAATTAATTATTCTTTGTAAAATGTTACTGACTTGTGAATCAATGTATAATTTCTTTTATACAATTTAATAAAAATTAAAATCTAGTGCGACGTAAATTAAAGCAACAACAACAACAACAGCAAAGTTTAGCATTTTACTCACATTACTCTTTTTTGGTATAGTGTAGATTATTCAAAAATGTTAACTGAAAGGATATCTTCACTAACTTTATCTGTAATTCATAATTTTTTTTAATGAGTATTTTAAGTAATTTGCTTTGCTTGTCAAATTTAGACATAAATTGTATCTTACCTAATTTTAAATGCCTATTGTAATTTCTCTTTTTAAATACTAATTGCAATCTATTTTTAAATTCTGATTACAAACATGATTTTATATAAGATACATATTTCTTACTATTTTGTTGCTGTTGCAGGTACTTTCAAATGCTAGACTCGTATTGGAAAATATAATGAAGTATGTAGTTTTATTTTTAGGTCAACTCAAAATATCTAATATGTGAAATGAATTTATTTAAATTTTAAATACTTTCTTGATTTGTAGGTATGGGATACTAGTTGATCCTATTCAGTGGGCAAATCTTTTTATAAACAATCCTACTGAATCACCTTCTGTCCTTCTATTATTTAGTAAGCAGTTTTCTAAATATATTTATCTTATTCTTTGCTTTTTTACTAAATATTATAAAATCTTATGTTTAAAATTTAATATCTGGTTATTACTAAATATTTAATATTATAAATGCTATTTATTTTGCTGTTTTTGAAGTCTAGCTAAATATATACTATTATAAGAAACCTTTATTAATCTTTTTGTTTTTGTTAAATAATTAACTGCTACTTGTATATTGTGTTTATTATTTTTGCTGTTTCTATTTATTTATTATATTTATTTTGTTTATTTTTTTGCTATTTTTTATTTAGGTTTACTTATTTTTCCATTGTCATCACTTGGTATTGAAAAATTACTTGCAAATGTAAGTGTAAACTGATACTAACTATTTATTAAACAGAGATGATAGTGCTCCGGAGAAATCCGGATTTCCAGGTTTTTCGCTAAACGGGATCAGGAAATCCATGATCCAGAAGTTTCAAGAAATCATTGATCACATTAATGTATAAATCTTCTTGTATATATTTTTTAAAAATATTAGAAATCTAATTTATACTTGACATCTCTTTCAATTGTAAATATTTTTTCTGGTAGAATAATAAATGTGATTAGAGATTAAAGTAAACTTATATGTAATTATTAATTTAAATTATGCTGCATATAATTTGTTTAGAATTACATGTTGTGAAAATATCAATGACTTAAATTTATAGGGACATAAATGTTTTTTGAAATGCCTCATTATTGATTTTACTCATTATTGATTAAATTATCCGGACTTTTGAGTTGGGCTCACAATCACCCCTGGTTAAAGCAATTTTGTATCTTTGAAGCAAAATTACTAAATGTTTTAACTCATTTTAAGTGATTCTTCTAATTAATATTATTGAATTATGTATGTGTGCTATGTTAAAAATACTTATTAGTAATTGTGAGATAATTGTAATGCTTGCCAAATTTTAATTGTGAAATGCTAAGTTTACTTGTTAACTATGTTCTTTTAATGTTTTAGATTGCTTGTTAACTATATGTATAGAGGTATCATATGTGTTGTGTATAAACATTAATTAGATCAAGAATGTTTATATTCAAGTTTCGAGAAAAAGGCATGCATTTTTTGTTACGGAAATTGTTTATTGAAGTTTAAAGTTTCTAATTTTCTTTTAAAAGATTTTTTTCTATGAAGTTGTTATAATCAAAAATTCAGTTTTCATAATACTGTCCTAAAGTTTTAAAGGAATGACCATAATTTTAAGTAAGTGTTAATGAATGAAATGTAATTAATCTTTTTGTTTAACGTAAAAAGTACTTTCAATTTGTATAAAAAGCTTTTTATTTAGTTACTATAACAAAATTATTGTCTTATATTTTCACCTTTTTTAAAAAAAATTAAAACAATGTAAAATTAAAATGAAAAGCTTATTATCACGAGTTACTTGTGTTGACTGCTTTGATAAAAACTTCCTTATATTAAGATCCTAACATTAAGTTGAATCAGAAACTTAAATTTCAGTTTTAAATAATTAGTGACTGCGTCAATTCATAACCATTCTAGATTAATTGTAATTTGTGTATTTTGAATATACAGTAGGGAACCGATTATCCG